CAGCCGGCGGGAGGGGCTGGTGCTGGGAGGAGGGGGCTACGCTCCCAGAAAGCGCAGTCCAGATGTGGCCAGAGGTGGGATGCTTTGCAGCAGCATCGATCTCACACCTGGCGTGGGTTAGGATGTGGGAAGCGACGCTGGGAAAACCCTTCGGGCCCTTCCATGGTGTCGTGTCCTGCCTGCGCGTTGGGCGAGCTGCAAGCCGCCGCCCTCCGCTCTCCAACCGCAGGAGCACCCCTTTGGGGTGGGACACGTCCCCCCGAGCAGGCGTGGGCCCCCCTCGAGCTGCCTGGTGCAGGATTTGGCACAGAGGATGCCTGTGGCTGGCTGGGCTTCCCGCTCTTACCCCGACAGCAAAGAGTTGGCAGCGGAGACACCGGCTCTGGCTCCAGGGGACTGCGTAACCGCATAGGCTTCCCTCACCCCCCCACCCAAAGGGGTCTCGGCTTTGCTTCCAGCACTCAGCTGCTCCTGATGCTTGGGTAGCACGAACGTGGGGTTGCTGTGACTGCCCGCCCCAAGCCGGGAGCTCTCCGGGTGGTGGGCGCTGCTGAGCAGCACCCCGGGGCAGGAAACCCCCTCCTCGTCCTGCCCTGGAGCTGGCTGGAGGGGAGGGACGTGCTCCTCCACGGGAGGGTTGTAGACGGGAGTCTTGTGCCCGGAGCTTCCAGGGCCAGGGTTTGGGGGTGGGATGGCAGGGGTAGGGGAACGGTTGGGCTGGGGGAGCTTAAAGGGCTTTGCCAACCCAAACCATTCTGGGATTCTAACCGCGCTGTGCTCCTCCAGGTGGAGGAGCTGAATAAAAAGCTGACCCAGCATGAGAAGGCCACCCGAACCCAGCAGCAGAGGGTGAAAGTAAGCAGGGACCAAAACCCTGGGACCTGAGCTGAGCCCTTGGCCACCCCCGAGGGGTGCGGGGGGCTCAGCCGAGCGAGGGGGGGGTGCTGGGCGCCTCTGACCTGGCCTCCTCCCCGCCCGCAGGTGCTGGAAGGGGAGCTGCAGGCAGAAGCCACCCGCCAGCAGGAGAAGGTGGCAGAGCTGCAGGCGCAGCTCGCCCAGAAGGAGCAGGCGGCCGAGCACTACAAAGGCCAGGTTATGCTGGGGGCTGGCACGGCCCTGCTGTCCCCATTCCCCTGGGCAGGGCACCACAGGGACGCTTGACGGGTTTTCTCTCCTTGATGTCCTAGATGGAGAAGGCAAAAACTCACTACGACGCAAAGAAGCAGCAGAACCAGGACCTGGCGGAGAAGCTGAAGGCCATGGAGCAGCTGCAGAAGGAGAACGCGGAGCTCCGGAGCGAGGCGGAGAAGTTGGCCAAGGAGCTGCAGCAGAGCGTCCTGCAGGCCAAGGAGTCAGAGCTGAGCTGCAGGAACCTCACCAGCCAGGTCCACAGCCTGGAGGCTCAGGTGGGCACGGCGCAGCGGGGCTCCACCCTGCTCCTCCTCCTCGCCTCCGCTGCCGGCTCGCTTGGAGGATCCATCCCTCCCTGCTTCCCATCCAGGTGGAGTTTGCCAATCGGCAGCTACGGGAGCTTGGCAAGTTCCAGGTGGTGACGGACACGCTGAAGGGCCGGGAGACTTTCCGGCAGAACCCCGCTGATATCAGCGCCGACAGCCTCGACCTCAGCCTCG